GCTGAAATATTTCGATGCTGTGTGGGACGCGATGCAAGATTAAGGTCCAGTTTCACAAACGTCGGTTAACTGTTAATCAGAGTTCAGTCGACTTCCTATCTTTCTCTATCTTGTTATCCAAGAAGAGACAGAGGATCAATTAACCATGGGTTAGCGGTTAAACGACGTTTGTGAAACTGGCCCTAAGAGTGTACATCTTCTTGCTTCTTCTTCATCTCCAGAAAGGAGTCTTTACCGAACTTTTAGGACCCGCTCGGCCACGGCGTGCGCCGACGTGTCGAATCGGACGAGCACTGAGTCGGCGAATGACTCACTGTCGTAATCGTTTCGCCAATTCCGTGTAACCACACTGCGGCTATAATTGAGCGCCACTGCGGTTGTGCCCCTCTCCGTACTGTGTAGTGTGTCTTGTCCTTGTCGACGGCTCGCACTCGCGTTTTTCCCTCCCGCTCGCGCCTACTCTCTCACGTGCTTCTCTCTCCCTCCGTCTCTCCCTCCGCGGGCCAGCAGAAACCGCTTATCGAACCTCGCCTCACCTGTCTCCTTAATTTCTTGCTTAGTCCGCCGCCGCCGCCGCAATTTTTGCGCTCACGCGACGAGGCGCTCGCCCGCGACCGGAAGCGCGAGGAGAGCGGGAGGTCGCGATCGGGGAAAAAATCGCTGTCGCGCGTGTAACAATGAAACGCTCGAGCGATAGATAGCTGGCGGATCCGCGAGATCCGACCTGCCTACTGGATTATCTCTCGCGACTCGGAGTCTTGGCCACTGCGGAAAATCTGATCGCTGCTGCACGCGGAAAATCCAAGTGGCTGGGGGAGACACTGGACAATGTGCAGTAGAGGCTATTAGTGCGGAAGTGAAATTGTTGTGTTCCGGTCTCGTCGAGTGTCGCGAAAGTGATATCGAAGTCGATTTAATTGATCCAATTGATCTTAACGCCCTTATCTAATCGAGGTGATTTTAGGATTCGTTTCTCAGATCGGTTAGATTCGCTTTAACACGTATACTGCATCTCGTTGCTTCGGAGCGAGAACATTGCTGTCGCCGAGTGAGATCGATCGATGTTGGGGGCAGCGCGGAGATAATAAATCGAAGCGTTCTGATTAGACCGGAGCCGCCGCTGCCGCTGTCGGCGGAAAATGAGATAATGCCGATAAGAATCACCGACTGACACGAAAGAAATGGGTGAAGTGCGACTCGGCAAGAAAGTACGAGGAGAACTTCTTTTCGCATTTAATTCATTCCTCGGCTCGTTGAGGGCGGCCTTTACGTTAGGCGCCTCCGAGGAACAGGTCTTATCGGAGCGCTGATTAAAAATACAATCTTAACAGGCTCGCGTGCAATCTTTGCATAAACAAAATTTACATTACACGCTAATTATTCGCCATCGGCGCTGTTGATCTTATTCGTACCCGTTGATACGGAGAACAGCTGCACGAGGCGCATAAAAAGTCGTCGGTGTCTCGTTACGTTTATGTTCCGCGAACAAGTTGATTTATCCGCAAATAATTAGAAGGGATCGGATAATACGCGAAGAGTCAGTGATGCAAGTCCGTAGTAGAAATTCGCGCGGGCCAGCTCTCCGGCTTGCGAGAGAAACTCGGCTTTATTATCGTGGAGTTTGGACGGGATCTTACGCGCGGCCGTTCTCATCTCTTTTTTTTCATTCGATATACGCTCCGTTTGTTTATCAGCTACGTGGCGTTATTATCAGCCAGCAGTAATACCGAGCCAATAATGAAGCGGCACCTTCGTCAGTTGCCGAAGCGCGGGCCTTATCGTCGCGTGTCACATCGTTCCGCTCCAGCGGTCGTCCGGGAAAAACGAAGCCGCGAAGGAAAGCGATAAGGAAGGGAGGGAAAATCGCGAGCTGCTCCGAGAACGGCTTCTTTTCGTTATCGATCGCGATGCGCATGTAATGCAAATTGAATTAGTGCCAGTGGAATATTACGATGCAACTACACGTATACGCGGCGATAACAAACGGCCTCGGATCGGCTCGGTGTGTTCGTTATCTTGTGAAATTAGCCTCGCAGAGGCTGTGTCTTTAATAAAGGCCTGATTAGAGGCGGCGGTATTTACTCTAGTGGAGTGTAGAAACGCGAGTGTGTGGCGCGAGCTCGCGACTTTGCATCGGAATGACGGTACGGTATCCCGCCGAGAAATCGTAATTCTTACAATTTTTGCCCAATTAAAAGCGTCAATCAAATCCTTGTGAAACGCGCAGCGAAATGCTCGTCCGCGCGTGTCGCATTTTTCCGACTAATTATGCGCGCGATCGGGGAGAATTATTGGAAGTACCAGTGATTGTGTACCTTAATTATGCGGATTTTAATGCGGGCTCAAAATCACCGGTGGTCTTCGGGTCGATAATAAATATAAAATTAGCGCAGATGTCATTTTCCCGCGCGACTGATCATAAAATAATGATACGACGGTCGTATAACGCGTGTATAATAACGAATAATAAATATAATATATAAACACGACGAGTGTGCGTTGCGGGGCAATTTTAACGTCAATCGGATATCACGGCGAAATTTCCGCGACCCGCGGAGGCTCGGGATCGAAGTGAAAGCTTGAACAACATAGCGAAATGTCGCGCAATCGCGATAAATTGCCTAAAAGCGTTTCGAACTCTCGATCCGGATGACATAACGCAGTAAAAGCGACGTTCATATTGCCGGTTGCTGCTTATATTTCCAATTCGCAAGAATTTAACCGATAAACCGAGCGACATTAACACGGCAAGAGGGGAAACCCCGCGAGCTCGGGCGGCACCCTTTGATGTGGATTTTTTCCCAAGTTTCCCCCAGCGTCTCGTTCGCGGCGGAAAGAAAAGTCGAACTAATAAAATCGCGCTTATCCCGTCCACGTTTTACGCGGTCGTGCGAACTGGCTGTAAAAACGGTCGACCGGATCCGCGCGACGAGAGAGAAACGGAGACTCGTTACGAATCAAACGTAATACGCGATCGAATATTCCGCCTGTACGGGGTGTCGTACCGTTGTCGATAAACCGTAACCCTGACCGACTTGCGGCGCGATCGACTCTGCACGCCGCGACAAAAGAGAAACTTTAATTGATGAAATTATACCGGTGGAACGCGCGCGGGTCAACTTGTCGCGGGGCCGTTTGTGTAAAGCAACGCGAGTCGCGCCGACTTGGTGCCGGTAATTATTGAGGTCAAATAACCGCGAAAATGATACGAAAATTATCGACGATAAGGGAAGATATCTTTCCACGATGATCATTTAATTTAAAAAGTTTGCGTCAAGATGTTCACTTTCTTCCCGGGGCGGCGAGAATTTTCAATTTTCACGACAATCTAGATTGAAAGTAATGTACAATGTACAAAAACTATATTGCGCGCTACGCGCTCGCGGTCTAGCGAGATGGCTTTTTAAATTGAACCTTTTTATCGCGCACGTATAAATCGTACGGATTTGCGGATGGTTATCGAATTAATGAATTCAATATCGCGCCAGTGTTCGCGTCGGTGTATGTGTCCAAATTGCAGTCTGTCCCAGCGACTCATCTCCAATTGATTCCACCGAAATGGTGCTCGTCAAAATTTTGCTGCGTGGGCTTGCACACGAGTATCCATAAGAAAGAGTCAAATGTCACGCTCGATCAATTAAAATGATATTTTGCGCACGTTCGCGCCAACTCGCGGGTTGAATCGCTCGCGCCATTATCGATCATTCAATTTTTCAACTGCGTTTTGATCGCTCTACGGTATCCGTCTAATCGTACAGGCTTGGCGCACTAGCGGAACAAATCGTTATGTAACACATAACGTGTAATTTCATGATACATGCGACAATCGCGTGATAACGTATTATCTACACTGACTCGTGGAAAATATCTATTCCCATACTTATTCTTCTAGAGAGCGCAAGTTGTAGACGCAAACAAACGCTTGAACGGGTGAAACAGATATCTGAATACACTTGTCAATCTGTTCTAGCAATTTTGATACAATTTATCGATTACAATTGCTAAATTAGAAACGAAGGATAAGTCGGGTCTTAAAAATACAATAGGGAAATATGAGAGACAGTAATATCAATAAAATAACACTGATGGTGAGTTTAGATTCGGTTTATTTTAAGCTCGTTTTAAATCTACCAATGACACTAGAGCCTACTCTGGGAGGGAAAAGACGGCAACCCATTTTGGGGCCCGCAATTGGTAATCGAATTATTTGGATTGTTGGTCTACTCTGGGAAAAATTTTGACCGTTTCTTTTTTGCGGTTAAGCAACGTAACATTTCGGTTAGCGTCTCTTAGGTGAAAATTATCTTTGCGTTACTGAAATATCGACAGAACTAATTGAGAGAATTTATTAGTGTTACTTAAAAATCTTGCATATAGATAGAACAGCTAATTGCGATTTTTAGTTACGCGGGGTAAAATTCGTAAAAAATTCGAGTGTTACGAACAGTCCAAATAATTCAATTACTAATTGTGTGGGCCCCAAAATGGATCGCTGTCTTTTTTCCCCCCAGAATAGAGTCAGATTCTGGTTAAAATTTTACGTTTAATACAAAGGATTAGAAACACACACATATATGTATAGAATATTAAGGTACACGCATAAAATACATTCATTCATACGTATATTATATAAATATCATATAAAATTGTAAGCAAAGTTTGAAATTTGCCGATTGTTTGGGGCGCAAATTTGAAAGAAAAGACGGCCAGTCTTCTAACTAAAATAACGAAAGACTGTTGCGTCGCGCGAACCTGAAAGTTTCGAAGGAATTTGATATAGATATCGCTCGCGCGAAATTCATCCGAGCGAGCCGGGTCTGGCCGGGTCCCCGGCG